ATGAAGCTCTCACTGCGATGGTATTCAACAAATTACTCTGAGGGTTTGCACACATATTTTTCATCCTTACTTAACGTTCGCCACAAGTATCAGTCAATTTGATCGACGACAGAGGCCAAGAAACGACTGTGTTTTTAGACTTTTCGATTCATCCAAATATTAGACAACTTTGAGGTCAAATATCTCCCCTTGTCAGAAAGCTACAACACTAATTTCTATTCCCCTTTATAAACAATCATTTCATCTCTGAAAATCATCAAAAAAATCTCAGGTCACTACCGTATTTTCGTATTGGATGCCTTTTAAAATCTGCCACTGTGACAAGTTTCTCTCAACTACACCTGTTATGCAATTCTTGGTCTAAGCGGTCACTTGACCAAATATACCTACATTTTTTAGCTCTTTATACAAGATGATTGATCAAGAAAGGTAACAAAATGTGAAAAACTTTTGATATTTTTTGCAGGAATGGAAAATTCCACGTTTAGAGAGATGCATATGGGCGAGAAATCGAAGGGAAAATCGTAGCATTTCTTTCTTCATTAGAAGATTAAATCTTTAAATTTTTTTCGATGGTCTCGGGATCCTTTCCGTACTCGTCCTTTACATGATCACCGAGTTTTGATTACTTGTGTTCCTCCACACGTTGATGAAAGTGTCGGCTCACGCAAAAGCCTTTTTTTGACGTTCATATTCTCGATGGAAAAAAATCCAGTTCGAGTACACTAAACGCACGGTTTAACATTATCCTCAGCAGAGACAGTTTGTACTTTTCGTCAACATGGCTTTGGTGATGCAATAAAAGTCCAGTATCAGTTGTTTTCGCGTAGACCTTCGTTTCTGGTCGGGGACTATTTCCGTTAATCATCATTCCAAGAAAGGTAAGTTTGCCGTTGTTCTCGAGTTCCATTGTAAAACTGAGTGAAGGGTGGATCTCATTCAGCATTGACAAGAAAACAGAGGCCGACCAAGCATCAAAATCTTAGCAGAGAAAGCGTTCGAAGGCAACTGTCTAAATAGGAAATATGCCCTTAACATCACAAAAAACAAAAAA